TATAATTACAGTATATAATTTAATTCATAATAAAGTTTATACATACCAATACTGCAATATTGTTAAATATAGCGATAGGCATTCAATCAACATGTACGGTTTATGCATGTGAGGCGGGGCATAAACATTACAGGCTTGTATAATAAAAATTTTTAGCCACATTATATTTTTTCTGTTAATATACGTATAATAATAATGAAAAATCCGAATAACATGTATATAAATAAAAATTACATCGAAAAGTGGCACATCTTTAGAGGCTGGAAGCACGGGTGTAACGTCTGTGACGAATGCAATCATCATTCACACTTATATTGTAAAACATGCAAAAAAGTAGCAGTTGGCATATATAAGCGGTGTGAATGTAATAACGATAATTCTCGGATAATTAAAATAAATCAGAATCATACATAATTTTCCATAATTCACCCACGTAACATGTATTAGAATAATTCCGCATATGAAATTTATATGTATGGCTTATCGTTATACATAACTAATTTGTGAGACGGGGCATAAGTAGAAATCCATTTTTCTGGAATCAGTACCCTAACCAAAATCAGTCAATTAACTCATGCCACATATCGATATGTTCTGAATTTTATTTTGTGGGGAGCCACTGGGGAGCCCAACTCCGGACTGAAACCTTATCTGGCCTAAATGCGCACAATGTATGCATGTACGACGGAGTATCGAGTCTTATTTTTTAACGATTTTAGCCTTACATGGCTCTTTAACTCGTGATGCATATATTTACATAATCTATACAAAAATTCTTTGCCGTGCTTTTCAGAAATTTCTTTGCATGTCTCAGAGGCAAAGCCTCCTCACTTCGTGAGACTTCTATCGTAGAAATTTTCGATGTAAGAGTGCATGTTTTTGCTTCTGTCTAACCTATCTAACATTTCGAGTTTCAGGGAAGAGATAAGAAAAATATATAAAAGGGCAGTATCTCAAATTTACTGTTATTTGTCGCTTATTAGTGATTCGCTTCTAATATTTTTATATATATTAAATTTTTGTTATGCATTTTTAAATACGTAAAAAAAAATGAATACTTTACAAAGCTTTTTGAGAGTTGAACCTCTTAACCAGATTACAATATCCAGAGTGTTGCATAAATATTGGAAAGATTGTGGAGTAAATACCGAAGAAGCGGATTGCGAGCATGTTATAAAAATTTTGAAAGAGTTAACAGATGGAGATATTGATGAAAGTCGCAAGCAACATTTTACGTCATTGCAAGATATAGAGAAGGTAATCTATTATCGTTTGAAGATGAATATTTTTTAACGTAGATATGATGATTTTCACAATAGTGTAATGGTGTGGAGTAAGTGGTATTCCGCATTCGATGCGATGAGCTACCGACGATAATCTGCATTGTTATACTATTGTAATTATAATTGGTTATAATAGGCCGGCCATTACCTGATATACATTATTTAATATATATAATTTATTTATTTTTCCGAATAAAACTAATTTTTTTTTTTAAACCCAAGATACAATTTATGTGGAAAGAACTTAATGCATTGATGAAAGATACCGATTTATTCCGGTGAGTTAATTTACCGAATGAGTAGAATAAATTGTCTATACTTTATGATGCATAAATTGTAATAAACAAACGTATAAATATCATGCAGACCTAAACATGACAAACCGAAATGGAAAACTCGAGCTACATGTAATATTGGTAGCATGAAGGAAATTTTACGGCATCTGCGAAATGAATCGCAAACTCATTTTCATCTTTTTGAAATGTTATGTGATGCGAATGTTGATAAATTGCTGTGTAATGATCCATTAGTTAATAGTATAGTCGATCTCGGATCTCCCCGGTTCTCTCTGAAAGAAGAAGAGCAGAATGTTCTTGCGGTATGCATTTTTCATTATGTGATATTTTTTTTTTATACAGGAACTGCCATCGTTTAAAAAATTTAATATTCCGTGAATAGGGTGAAAGGAGTTCTATAAAGGGGTTAAGCATAGGTGCTTTGGTAAGGCAAGTATGCGCTAATTTCATTACAAAGAGGAACGAAATCAAGCAACGTTATAGGTTTATGATATTGCCATCTGAGAAAGTGACCCATGCGCGTTGGGTTGAACAAGAATATGAAAGAGAGCGAGTAGCAAGAAATATAACAGATGATCTTTTGCTAAAAATAAAATCGAATATCTTTCGTCGAGTTTCTGATGGGTCAGAGAATTCTCTTGTTGAAGCTATTGCTCACTTAATCGAGGCTTCTTTGTGCCAGTTACCACTCGAATATAACGTTGATGTGGTTAGAGGTGAAAAACAGAGCATTGCTAGCAAGAATCAGAAGGTGTTAGAGGAAAGTGGCTCAAGAGGAGATAAGCCCGATCTGATGATAATAGCATCTTTGAGACGGAAGCAGTATGAGGTTGCTTATGTGGAAAGTGGGAAATGGGATTCCAATGATAAAAAAATTTGTGATGATCATAACAAGCTTGCGAAACTTTGCTCGGATGGATATAAAGAAATTGTGAAAGAAAGGTTAAAAAAGGTTTATATCGCATTTGGGGTTAATATTTCAGGTAATAATATACTTGTTTCATAATTTGTTGTTAGAATATCATCAATATAATAATATATTTTTTTATTAATATAGACAAGAAATTTATACTTCATGGGTTGGTGCAAGAAAAGGGTATAAAATACTATTTGCCAATTGCTAAGGCGAAAATTCCCTTCTGCGATGAGTCACTTGAAGAGGTAGAAGAATTTGTTCATACTTTGTTGATTTTACGGGTAAGAAATCGTTAAAGATGGAATTTAGTCATTTATATATTCTAAAAAAATTCTAAATTATATTAGAATGGAATTATCGTAAATTTACATAATCTTGGTCAATAAGAGCTTTTTATACTTTATTTTGTATTTTGTTTTTATTTTTTTTTTATATTAATAAACCTGGCACTGGTGGCTGATTTCGCATATATAATCGCGTTTACTTTGCATGTATATTTCATGAATTTATTTTTTGTATTATTATCGATGTATATTAACTCGTATATGATCGAGAATTTTTAAAATTTTTCTTGGCATTTTTTGACGAACATTGTTCGCTGAAATTTCATCACATGACTTCTGGTTTGGTTCTCTCGAAAAGATATCTTATAAAAATAATTGAAATTAAAAAGCAT